TGTCCATCCTCCCTGGGGGGTGATTTCTTGCTTTCTGTCTCTCTCTGTATTTCTGGCAAGCACACACGCCCTATAGCAAAAACCTCTCAAAAAAAAAAAAATCTCTAAGATGACCATTCTCAAATGGCACCTCTCTCCAACTTAGCTCCTAATGGTAGATTCTTATGTCTAATTTCCTACTTGGCATTTCTCCTTGGATGCTTAATTGATTATTCAAATGTATCATATCTAAAACTGAGCTTCTAATAAGCTAATTACTTCTGGAATCTGTACATTCCATAGTTTCCCTCTCTGTATTTTAGTTGCTTAGTCTGAAAACCTTGGTATCTCCCATCCTTGACTCCTTTTTTTCCAAAACACCCTATCAAAGAATCAGCGAGTTCCACTGGTGCTGCCTTCCAATTTCCTGATCTCCTCTTTGGTCAGAGAGATTGTAGCTTCCTTCGCATTTCTATAGTTCTTCAGATGTATGCCTTTTTTTTTAAACAGATTTTTGCTACATGGCATATGCACTCACCACAGAGACAGAAAGGGAGAAATCGCCCTCCAGGCAGGAAGGCCACGCTGCAATTCCTTCTCCATTCTCCTCTCAGGATTTTGGGCATGCATGCTTGCACACACACCTGGAGCGAGTTTTAAAACACTAGGTCTGGAACTCAAACTATGGTTGACTACAGGGGAGTCCAGCGACATAACCATTATGCCATATGCTGGTCCCTAGACATAACACCTATTAATTCTTTTCCTGTATTTTATATTTCCCTGTACTTTATATTAGGGTTAGAGATAGAAATAGTATAGACATGTGTGTTCACTCTCTCATTTAACCTAAAGACTGTTACATCTATTTGGGAGGAAGGAAGAGGAGCAGAATTTTAAAGAGATGATTGAATCTGAATATATGATAAGATTCCGATTGCTGAGTGAAGAGAAAGAGCAGACATTTCTGAGACTTCAAGGAGGCACGCTTCACTTGAACTTGAGAGAAACCAGTGTGAATCAACTGCTCACATTTGCCACTGAGCTAGAGCAGAAGGCTCAGGAAATGCTACAGGTGAGAGATTGAAACAACTCTCAGCATATTTGGAAAATGAAAGAAGAGCTGAACTTTAAGCCATTTCTAGAATAAGTTCATCCATGAGCATCACAGATGTACTAAATGAATGTATACACCCACCAAGCAATTCTATTTCTATGAGTTTATCCTTATATACACATAAAAGACACATTCATAAGGTATATATACCAGCAGATATATGTGCATACATACATTATAGTCTATCACAATATATACTGTATATCATATTATATATATTACATTATAATTGCATATGCATTAATTTATTCTTCAAATACATTGTATGTAAAAAGACATGAGTATAGTAACACTGTCAAAGTGAGTTCATGACCCATGGCTTGGAATTAACCTTGGAGCCAGCCTGATGGGGATCCTCTCACTTCTGCTGTCCCTCAGGTGGCCGTGGATTTGTTCCTTAATCTCTGACTTTGTTTCGTTAGGAATAAAATGGAGATAACAGTGGCCCCTTATTCCCAACGTTGTTGTAAAATTTGAGTGAAATAATCTTCATAAAGCTGATTAGATAGTGTCTTGTACATATAAAACAATTTATAAATATTATTATTTTTTTTTGGAGAGATTTTCGCTATAGGGCGAGTGCGCTCGCCAGACAGACAGAGAGAGATATTAGAGACAGAAAGCGAGAAATCACCCCCCAGGGAGGATGGCCACGCCACAATCCTTTCTCCTCCATTCTCCTCTCAGGATCTTGGGCACTCACGCACACGCACCTGGCGTGAGTTTTAAGCCACTGGGTCCGGGACACGAACCGCAGTCGACTACGTGGGAGTCCAGCGACATAGCCATTATGCTGGTTCCCTATAAATATTATTATAACATTTATTAATAGCAAAATATTAGACACAGCCTATCTCAATCGATATGAGACTCACAAGGCTTACTCCATACAAACCATGGAAGACTCTAGAGTATGTTAAAAAAAGGTACCATTAGGGAACCAGCAGTTAGCGTAATGGCTATGTCGCTGGACTCCCATGTAGTCGACCGCGGTTCGCGTCTGGACCCGGTGGCTTAAAACTCACGCCGGGCACGTGTGCGTGCGTGCCCAGGATCCCGAGAGGAGAATGGAGGAGAAGGGATTGCGGTGTGACCATCCCCTCTGAGGGGTGATTTCTTGCTTTCTATTTCTCTGTTTCTCTCTGTCTGTCTTGTGAGTGCACGCGCCCTATAGAAAAAACTTCTCAAAAAAAAAAAAAAGGTACCATGGCTTTGTGAGTATGAATGAATAATTTTTTGTTTGTTTGTTTTAGAGAGATTTTTGCTATAGCATGCATATGTTCACCAGAGAGACAGAAAGTGAGAAATCACACACACACCCTCCCCCCCACCTCCCCAAGGGAGGAGGGCCACACCACAATCCCTTCTCCTCCATTTTCCTCTCAGGATCTTGGGCACACACGCACATGTACCCAGTGTGGGTTTTAAGTCAAGAGGTTTGGGACTCGAACCACAATCAACTACCTGGGAATCCAACAACATAACCATTATGCCATCTACTGTTCCCTAAGTACTGCTCTTTAAGACAAAAGCAAGTTGTCATATTAATGGTAGAATATGAATCACCATATTTTAAGTTTTTATTTTTTTATTTAAATAACATAATCGTGTTTATAAAATAGGAAGAGAGTATATGTAGAAGGATAAAAAGAAAATTGGATAGGTAGAGTATATGTAGAAGGATAAAAAGAAAATTGGTATCAGTGGCTTAATTATCTAATCCTTATTAAATAATATGATTACGTTTTAATTATATTATGGCAAAATTCAATTAAATTTAATTTAATCAAGAAGTAGGGAACTTTCTGAAGGCACCATAGCAAATGTTGTGATGTATTGTAGGAGCATGTTTTTTAACATAAGAGGTCTACACCCACACAGGTCTCCTCAACACCAGTGCCAAACAGTAAGTTTCTGCGGAAGCGCCCCACGTGACACAGACCATCTAGTTAGCAAACTTACCTCATTACATCTAGTCTGGGTGGTAGACAGTAAAAACCAGTTTTTAAAGACGCAGTTGCATTAGTAAGAGAAGTTACCAGTCGTAAAGAGATGTTTTCGGCAGAGACTCAGCGGCCTGGGGAGAGAGAATATGAATAAACTCAAGGAGAGTGAAGTCCGGGTTTCCGAGCAGATCTGCAGCCTTGAAAGGATGACCACAGAGCTCGAGAGGAAGTGTGGGGAGCCCGCCTTAGCACTGCTCCAGGTAAGGCTGTGGCACAAAACCTTCACTGCCCGATCTGGGAACTGAGAGGTACACAATACTTACTAGGGGTCACTTTTTTTTTTTTTTGAGAGAGAGAGATTTTTGCTATAGGGCGCGTGTGTTCGCCAGAAAGACAAAGAGAGACAGACAGAAAGCAAGAAGTCACCCCCCAGGGGGAATGGCCACGCCGCAATCCCTTCTCCTCCATTCTCCTCTCAGGATCTTGGGCACACGTGCACACGCACCCGGCATGAGTTTAAGCCACCAGGTCTGGGATTTGAACCACGGTCAACTACATATGAGTTCAGCGACATAGCCATTATGGTAACTGCTGGTTCTGACTTTTTTTTTCTTAAATATTATTTGAGAGATTTTTGCTCTCAGGTGCGTGCTCTCACTGGAGACATAGAGATACAAAGACAGAAAGTGAGAAACTTTTCACCACCGTCTGGTCACACCACAGTCCCTTCTCCATCTTATCCTCTTAGGATTTTGGACACCCAAGCACATGCACCTGGCAAGAGTTTCAAGTTGCCAGGTCCTGAACTTAAACCGCAGTCGACCAAGTGAGAGTCCATGCCTTAACCATGACGTCACCTGCTGACCCCCAGCCGTCACTTCTAAGATTCAATAGCTGATGATTTTCAGCCAAACATGGAGGCTATGCAGTCATATTCCAATTGCCAAAAATATTATGAATTGTCGTAAAATTATGGTGTAGTACAGAGCTGTTTCACAAGATGAATTCTCGTCTTAAAATTAACATAAAGTTTTGGGGTCAACAGATGGCATAGCAGTTAGGTCACTAGACTCCCACATAGTCAACCACAGTTCAAGTCCTGGACCTGGTGGCTTGAAACTCATACTGGGCATGTATGTGTGCTGAAGATCCTTGGAGAAGAGTGGATAAGAGATTGCGGTGTGGCCCTTCCCACCTGGGGGGTGATTTCTTTTTTTTTTTCCCTTTCACTGTCTCTATGTGTGTGTCTCTCTCTGGCGAGCATACACCCTAAAACAAAAATCTCTAAAAACTAAAATGACATGAAGTTTGAATTCAGATGTATCTCAATAGGGCGAAAAATTATTTAGTCAAATTATGATATATCTATACAATGATATGTTCTACAACCACCAAAAGGAATGAAACAGATCCATGGGTCATGAAGTGGTATCTTCACAGTTTCTCAATAAGTGAAAAAATTAAGTACCAGAACTGCTTTTTGTTTGGTTTAGATCCCCCACCCCCTTAAAAAAATGTTTTTATATGTTGTCTGTCAGAGAAAGGCAGAGAGAGGGAAAGTGAGGAAGCACCCTCCATCCCAGGGGGAGATGGCTATGCCTCAAACCCTTCTCCTTCATACGCTTAGGATTTGGGGAATGCACACACTGTGCACTCCATGTTTTTTTCTTTGTTTGTTTTTTGTTTTTCAGAATTATTTAACTTTTTAATTTATTTATTCATTTATTTTAATTTGACCAGAGAGGGACAGAGTGAGAGAGACAGCAAATAAGAAAGCAAGCTGCCAGGTCCAGGACTCAAACAGCAGTTGGCCATGTGGGAGTCCAGCACCTTTACCTACCACGCCACCAGGCAGTCCTCGTTTTTTTTTTTTTTTTTTTTTTTTTTTGTTTTTAAGAGAGATTTTTGCTATAGGGCTCACCAGAGAGATAGAAAGTAAGAAATCCACCCAGGGGGATAGCCACGCCACAATCCCTTCTCCTCCATTCTCCTCTCAGGATCTTGGGCACGCACATGTGCCTGACATGAATTTTAAGCCACTGGATCTGGGACCCAAACTGAAGTCGCCTACATGGGAGAACAGCAATGTAACCATTATACCATCTGCTGGTCTCTCTGAATGTATAAGACTCTCCTTGCAGTTAGCTCTGTCTATGAGGAAGTGACCCCTCACCTAACAACAAGTTTGCAGCCATTTTCATCTTTGAATTCCAGAACTGTGAGAAATTTCTGTTGGTATAAGCTATCCACCCTATGATATTTGATTATAGCAAACTTAACAGATCGAGTATGATGTATTTTAAATTCTGTACATAACATGTATTTCCTTTTCAGAAAGCAAGTTACTATATTTTTTAAGACTCTGTCTCTGCTGGGTTCCTATTTGCAATTTGAGTGCACTTATTTGAAAAGCCTCTATGGGCAAATTCTCAGGAAACAGCTCGATTCTAGAGCCAAGCCACACTCCAGACATATGTAGGTGGGACCCAATTATGCTCAGTTTCTAACCTGGCTCCAATTACTCTCTCAGCCTAGTGGATCCCTTCATCTGCTCAACTCTTGCCACCTCTAGCACAGAAAGCAAATAGGTGAGCACATTTGAAGGGGAGTTATTCTAAATAAGATGGTTGAGGTGAGAAATAAAAAATATTCCCCGTGGGATTCCATGAAATCCTGGAAGAAAACTTTCTAAACCTAGAGAGGCACTCAGATATCCAGAGCCAAGAAATACAAAGGACTCCACATAGAATCTACCCAAGAAGATCTTCCCTGGTATACATCATAACTAGATTGACCAAAACCGCAGACAGAGACAAGATACTAAAGTTGGCAAGAGAGAAATGTCAAATTACTTTCCAAGGATATCCCATCAGGCTAACGTCGGACCTCTCGTCAGAAACAATGAGAGCGAGGAAAGAATGAGAAAATATATTCAAAGCGTTGAGTGAGAAAACAATTTCAACCAAGAATACTATACCCAGCAAGATTATCTTCCATATAGGAAAAATAGACAAAAACATTCTCAGATAAACAAAACCTGGAAGAATTTACCAACACCAGACCAGCTTTCCAAGAAATACTGAAGGGAGTGCTATACCAGGAAAACTAAATTCAGACACACAGAAATAAGAGTAAAAAACACAACCAAGAAAATGGCCATCCTAAAGGTACGGACATGTTTGGAGTTCTGTGCTAACTTCCAGAGTTTAAATGGTAAGATCAGATCACAGTAAAACTGCAAATTCAATAAAGGGAGATTTATTACACGAGTTTGAACTAGTGAAATAGAATTTTTTTACTTTTAGACTAAAACATTACTGATTTTCTTCGATGCTTGATTTCCATTTTTAAGGATTTTTGTCATCTCTTGAACTATCGATAGGTTCATCTATCTTCTATTTGAACTGAATCTTAGCCTTTTTCCTGGCTTTAAGTTTCAAGCAAATTTCACATTTTTTTATTTTGATCTATTAAAACTAAAACTTTTTTGAAATAAAAAAATACATTAAAGATATCTGTTAATATCTATGTAATGACTGCAGTAAGCTATATAGCCCCAGTGAGGCGCTACTTTATAGTATGTTCACTTTACTCACTGAGGTTTATGCCTAAAATCAGACATGCATGCATAGATATTTATATATCAGCTGTACTTGCTATATAAGAAGTCTTTAAATTAATTAAGATCTTTAGTGAATTGATAAAATATGAAAAAAATATTTCCTGTGGGAATATGGCAAAATACTTCAAGTATTTTTCTGACTTCTCTACTCCATGTTAAAATATGCTATCTGGGTCCAGCAAGTGGTATGGTGGTAAAGGCACTAGATTCCCACGTGGTCGACCGTGGTTTGAGTCCTGGACAAGATACCTGTGGAGGGAGGATGGTGGCCATCACCCCCACCCACCCAGGGGTGATTTCTCGCTTTCTGTCTCTGGTAAGTGCATACGTCCTATAGCAAAAATCTCTTCAAAAATTTTTTTCATATCTGAGAATTAGTACCATGAAGCTGAAGAAATTAAATGAAAATCAAGTTCTTTGTTGCAAGACAGACTATTTTCATGAATATAGCTCACAAAAGACTTGCTCCAGATATCCTGTAGTAACCTTTTCTGTTTTTCCCCTTAGAGTGCAAGATATTCTTTGGAAAGGTAAGTTTTTGTTTTGGAAACAACTAGGTCAGAACTAGAGAGTGTGTTTGCTGAGCACACCAGGGGCAGGGGTGTTGGCACAGGGCCAGGGAGACCTCACTAATGGTAAAAGGCAATGAGATCCAGCCCTTCTGTGGAGGGGCCTGTGGTCTGTGTGAATAACTGAGGTTGTCCTTTCCCTGCAGGGGTGAGTCGTTACTGCTGCAGTGTCTGGAACCCGCCCACATCACAGACCTGAGTTTATGCCAAATTAGAGGAATGAGCCAAATGCTAAAAGTATTTCAACGTAAGTTGATGTATATTCACGATTACAGGGCACTTTCTTTTTGTATTTGAGAATCAAATGACTGGTCTACCACAAGTAAAAATAAATTTAGGCCAGTCATGTGGCACAATAATAACAATGCTCTGTGATGCTGAAGCTACATAGGAAAATCCTAGGTTCATATCTTGAGGTCTTCCTGTACACACCAGGCACACACACGTGTGTGTGTGTGTGTGTGTGTGTGTGTGTGTGATCCTACCTGGCTGAAGCTGGGGGTGGATAGTAGTCTGAACCCAATTGGTTGTGCCTCTGTCTCTTTCTCTTAGAAAAAATAAATAAACTTTGTTACCAGCAGGTATTGTAGTGGTTCCATTGCTGGACTCCCACATAGTCAACCACGGTTCAAGGCCCATACCTGGCAGTTTAAACTCACACCGGCATATGTGTGTACATGCCCAAAATCCTGAGAGGAGAATGTAGGGGAAGAGATTGCAGCATGGCCATCTCCCCCCGCCCCCGGGGGGGGGGAGGGGGTGATTTGCTTTCTGTCTCTGTCTCTCTGGTGAGCACACACACTCTATAGCAAAAATCTCTCCTAAAATAAATAAACTTTAAAATGGATAATAGGTAGATTCTAGTAGTTTAAAAATTTAAAGAGATTAGAGGGCTTAATATACTACACACATTAGATAATTATCAGTAAAATAACTGCTTACATTGAAACTTTTCCTGTGTAAGTTATATACCAAATTCTTAAAGTTCTGGTACCAGGAGATGGCATAATGATTATGTTACTGTACTCCCACGTAACAAACCATGGTTCAAATTCTAACCTGGAGGCCTAAAACTCTCACCAGCACATGTACATACGTGCCCAAAATCCCTAGAGGAGAAGGGATTGTGGTGTAGCCATATTCTCTGGAGGGTGATTTCTTTCTTTCTTTCTCTCTATCTCTGTCTCTTTGGCAAGCACACACTCCCTATAAGAAAATCTCTGTAAAGAAAAAGAAACTGGGGCCAGCAGGTGGCGTGGTGGTTAGTGGTGTTGGACTCCCATATGGTCAACTGCGGCTTGAGTCCCGGACATGGTGACTTGCTTTCTCTCTGTCTCTCTGTCCCTCTCTGGTCAAATTAAATAAATAAAGTTAAAGAAATAATTCTTAAAAAAAAAAAGTTAAACTTATGAGTAGAAACTTTCAATATGTATAACAAAGAATTTGTGTGTCTTGATGCTACAGTTTTATCTTTTCCAGAATTTCCAGCAATAGAATTAAGCAGTATGTGTCATCTTGAGTCTGGTTTCTTTCACTTAGTATAATCCATTGAAAAACAAGCAAATTATTACCTGCATCCATTTCTTTTTTTTAATTAAAAGAAAAAAAATTTAATTTGTTATAGGACATACATGCTCTCCAGAGAGAGACAGATAGAGCAAGTGAAAAAATGAGAAAGGACTATCCCAGAGAGGATGCTCACACCACAGTCCCTTGTCCTCCATTCTCTCGTCATTTTGGACATGCACACACATGCACCCAGCATGTTTTTCAAGCCACTGGGTCCGGGACTTGAACTAGGCAGTTGGTCATGTGGGATCTGGCCACTCTACTTGGTCACTGCTGGCTCATTTGTTCCTTTTTATTGTTATGGTACATTTATTGTATTTTTTTGTGTAAGAGTACCATAATATTTATCCTTTTGCCATTACTTTGGTTCTTGGTTGTTTCCAGTTCAGTGCTGTAAATATTTCCCTGCACATTTTTGTGTGAACATGGTTTCTTATCTTGGTCGGCTCTGTCAGCGTGGGATCGCCAAGCTTGCTTTCACACGGCCTGTGTCCGTTTGCACTCCCACTAAATAATGTGAGTCTGCTGGTCTGCATCGTCACCAGCACTGGATACTGCCAGTTTATTAGATCCAGCTTGTAGTGTAATCTTATCTCGTTTTCATTTTCATTTGCATTTCTGAAATAACAAATGATGTTGATCATATTTTCATTGGTTTATTTACTCTCAGTATCGCTGCTTTGGCAAAGCATGTACAAATCTTTTTTTTTTTTTTTGAGAGGTTTTAGCTATAGGGCGCGTGCGCTCACTAGACAGACAGAGAGAGACAGAGAGATAGAAAACAGGAAATCACCCCCCAGGGGAGATGGCCACACCGCAATCCCTTCTCCTCCATTCTCCTCTCGGGATCTTGGGCATGCACGCACACGTGCCTGGCGTGAGTTTAAGCCACCGGGTCCGGGACTTGAACTGCAGTCAACTACATGGGAGTCCAGTGACATAGCCATTCCGCTAACTGCTGGACCCACAAATCGTTTTTTTTTTCCCCTAAAAATGTTCTAAATAAACTATGTCTTATGAATTTATTGTTCTTTTTTAAAAATTATTTTATTTTTAACTTTATTTATTTATTTTAATTTGATCAGAGAGGGGCAAAGTTGGGGAGAGAAGGGGAACGTGAAAAAGCAAGCCACCAGATCTGGGACTCAGACCTTGGTCAGCCATGTGGGAGTCCAGTGCCCTTAACCACCATGCCACCTGCTGGCCTCTATACAAATCTTTTCTTCTTTTTATTGAATAGAGAGATTTTTGCTATAGGGTGCGTGCACTTGCCAGAAAGAGAAAGAAACAGAGACAGAAAGTGAGAAATCACCCCTCAGTGGGGGATGGCCATGCTGCATTCCTTTCTCCATTCTCTCAATACCCTGGGTATGTATGCACATGTACTGGTATGAGTTTAAATGGCCAGGCCCAGGACTCAAATCACTGTTAACTACATGGGAGTCTAGTGACGTAACCATTACACCATCTGCAGGTCTCCTTTCTTTCTATTTTTAAATTGGCTTATTGAGTTGAGAAATTTCTTGATATGTTTTGCTTAGCGGTCACTAGGTGTTTTGCAAGTATTTTCTCCCAATCTGGCTTAGATACTTGTTTTCCTAACAGTATCTTTTAAAGAGTAGATGTTTCAAATTTAAAAAAAAAAAAATCTTTAAAAATAATTTGCCAGTGGGCACATGCACTCATCAGAACGAATGATGAAGGAGGAGAAAGAATCCCCCATGGAGCATGATCAGGCCGTTTCTCCATCTGTTGTAAGATTTGGGACACACATATGCACCCAGCGTGTGCCAGTTGTTGGGTCTGGACTTGCACAGCTTAGTCAGCCATGTGGGATCCAGCTTCCTTAGTCATCAGGCCATGGGGTAGCTCTAGAACTTCCACAGTTTGCTAGAGTTCTGTTTACCATTTTTTTTTTTCTTATTCAGCTGTGCTTTTTGTGTCCTAGTTTAGAAATCTTTGCCTGCCCCAAGAAAAATTGACTTCTACAAGTGTTTGCAGTTTTCATTTTTACATTTTGGTCTATGATCCATTTAGAGTTAATGCTTATAAATGGCTCAAGAAATGGTTCAAGTCCTCTTTTTAAAAAATGTATTAATTTATTTTAAGTTTTAAATTTTTTAAAGAATTATTTTATTTAACTTTATTTATTATTATTATCATTATTATTTTCCAGTTTGATCAGAAAGAGACAGAGAGAGAGGAAGTGAGAAAGCAAGCCACCAGGTCTGAGACTTGAACCGTGGTTGGCTATGTGGGAGTCCAGTGCCTTTAACCACCATGCCACTTGCCAGCCCCAAGTTTTAACTTTTTTTAAAGAATTGTTTTATTTAGCTTTATTTATTTATTTGTTTGTTTATTTTATTCTGACCAGAGAAGGACAGAGTGAGAGAGAGAGAGAGAGAGAAGGAAAGTGAGAAAGCAAGCTGCCAGGTCCAGGACTCCAGCCGTGGTCAGCCATGTGGGATTCCAGCATCATTAACCACCACGCCACCTACAGGCCCCCAATTTATTTTTATTTTTTCCCAGAGTCTTTTTTTATTGACCTCTTACAACTACAACATTAGCTGTTTCCTCCAGAATTATTTGTATTTTTAAAAGGTCTTTGTCATAAGGCACGTGTGCTTGCTGGAGATAGACAATGAGAGGGACAGTGAGCCATCACCCCTCAAGAAGGATGGCCGCATGAGAGAGATAGAAAGAGGAGTGAGAAGAAAAGTGAAAAGGCAAACCACTGGGACTGGGACTCAAACTGTGGTCAGACATGTGGGAGGGTGCAGCACCTTGACCCCCATGCCACCTGCTAGCCCTGCTTTATTCTTGATTTTAAAAGAAAAGCATTAAATCTTTCACTAAAGTTTAACAATAGCTTTAGGGGTTTTTGTTGTTGTTGTTACTGTTGGTTTTTTATAGGTGTTCTTCATCAAGATGGGAAGGTCCCCTTAATTTCTAGCACACTAAAAATTTTTAGAATGAATACATGTTGAATTTAAGTATGTCTTTATTTTTAAGTACTCATGCTTCTTTTTCTGGAGGGGGAGGAGATTTTCGCTATAGGGCGCGTGCGCTCACCAGACAGACAGAGAGAGACATAGAGACAGAAAGCGAGAAATCACCTCCCAGGGAGGATGGTCACGCCGCAATCCCTTCTCCTCCATTCTCCTCTCGGGATCTTGGGCAAGCACGCACACGCGCCCGGCGTGAGTTTTAAGCCACCGGGTCCGGGATGAGAACTGCGGTCGACTACGTGGGAGTCCAGCGACATAGCCATTACACTAACTGCTGGTTCCCAGTACTCATGCTTCTTTATAATCTGTTAACATGCTGAATATATTGATTGATTTCTATATACTGAACCAGTCTTGCATTCCTAAGATAAACATTTTTTATCATTTATTTTTACATTTTCCCACAAACATTTACTTTACATATCAAAAAAATTTTGCTCATACGCCATAGTTCTTGACAGTTAATAAACGACCTTCACAATTCCAAAAAACTGAATTTTAACATTTGAAATAGTTGTTATAATTTTGTTTGTTACTCTCTAACAACAGAGACAGTATGTTTTAAAATATTTTTGAGAAAATATTTACATGTCAACTACTCAAACTGTGGAAAAGCAAATGCCTAGCACACTAGTCACATAAACCTTCACAATTCAGCCCTGCCTACCAAGTATTCTGTGCTATACCATCTGCTAACAAAGATCAGTCTCTTATACTTCCATCAAAGCCTTTCTCAAGATAATCCTCTGGTGGGGTTGCTCTTTTGCAATCTCTACTGATTACAATGCTGGACTGGAAAAGTCCAGGTTATTTTATGTTATAAATTCTTTCATACATCTTCTCTAATCCTCTCTGCCAGGCAGAACTATTTATGGTGCCTGACCATCTTTCTAAGAGCTTCTGTTAGCTTACTTGAGATCCACCTTAGTTCCATAGTTTGCTGGTTTAATCTTCAGATATGACATTCCAGTCAAAGCCCTGTCCAATAACAAGTATTTCCAATTTCTGATTCAAGACAACAGGTGTTATTGAACTTATGCAAATAACCCTTCTGCCACAAATAAGAATACTCCCAAATATCTTCCAATTCCAGAGGGGTCAGGAAGGGAGAAAAGTTGTTTCCATTGAAAAAACAAATAAACAAACAAACAAACAGAGTGAAGGCATAGAGTCATCCAAGTATGAGAAATCTCATTGAGCTTTCTTGTTCTCAGCTTGATTCATTGAAAAAACAAACAAACAGAGTGAAGGCATGGAGTCATCCAAGTATGAGGAATCTCATTGAGCTTTCTTGTTCTCAGCTTGATTTTTCTGGTGGATTCTCACAGGTTTTCTAGCCTCCATTAATATATTTTCTGTTGATTTACTTCATATCAAAAGCTTGCTGTCAGCAGTTTCTACGAATCTATGCCACATTCAGGGAATACTTAAGTGAGTAGAGTAGATCAGGGGGAAGAGCCATGAATCAGCTGCTCACCTAGCAAGCTCAGTGCTTCTGCCTGTTCCAAGCTTAGGAAAAAAGTCTTCAAGATCCTAGAGTTGGGTCCTTGGCGATATCTGGGTGGGACCAGTTACCAAGAAAATTTTATAGCCTCAGAGTTGAAGGTACATCCCAACCTCTCCTTAGCCTATTAGTCCTTGGTTCTTCCACGTCAGGTAGATGGTGTAGAACCCTTTCCATCATCTATTGACTGACTTTCTCTGTAGTGTCCATCCATTGGCACAAAGCTGAGCCCCCAAAATTGCCTCACCATAATGTGCACATGAGACTTGTGCACACTCACTGGGAAGTCCCTGCCTGTTAGGAATTTCATCTCTAGCATTGGCATTGAGGAACCCCTAGATTAACTAAATTTGTCTCTCCATACAGGAAATATAACTTTGGATTCTGAAACAGCTCATCCCTGCCTGGTCTTATCTGAAGACCTGAGAAGCGTAAGATTTGGAAACACTCCGCAAGATATGCCTGGCCACCCACAGGGACTGGACTTCAGTGCCACTGTGTTGGGTGTGGAACGCTTCTCTTCCGGGAGGCACTATTGGGAGGTGGATGTGGAGAAGGCAACAAGGTGGCAGTTGGGCATATACCAAGGCTCTGCAGACAGAAGGGCCAACATGCCCAAAGCTTCTGGAGATCAAGTCTTACTCACCGGATCCATAATGGGGACCGATTTTACCTTGTGGGTCTCTCCTCCTTTGAAAAAGGTCTCAATGAGACAGCAAATGCACCAAGTTGGAGTTTTCTTAGACTATGAGTATGGGCAAGTATCGTTCTATAATGTGACGGAGAAATCTCTCATTTATAACTTCTCTTATCTTGCCTTCCAAGGTGCTGTTAGGCCTGTATTTTCTCTTTGTTTCCCTGATAGAGACATAAATTCAGACTCTCTCACTATTTCCTCCCCTCAGGTTCCTAACCATAATATTGCTGTTAGCTCTTAATCTTTCTGTGAAATCCAAACCACAAAGGCCCAGAAAGTTAAGAGCAAGACTTTGTGAAAGAATTTATATAAAGTACTCTATTAAAAGACTTCTATGAGTAAGAATCCGGTTTAATACCCCAAAGCCTTTGCATTCATGTGCCATTCAAAACCTGTGTACTGGAAGAGGATACATTTAAGTTGAATCATGAATGTTCCTAACTGGAAGGCCCTACACTAATTAGAATGACAAATACATACTTATCACAGGACTGGAAAATCAGAGAAGAAATATTGTCTGGCTTCCTTAGAACTAGGTTAAGGACTCTAGGCACAGTTTTGAAAACATTTTCAGAATTGGTTATACTATTTTTCTATGCAAAAATGCATCATGACTTTCCCCAGG